CTAGACTTTCCTTTTATCCTCTGCCAATGTGGGCCTCAACCAAAAGTATAATATCGTACATCCTACGTGAAAAAGAAGCGCAAGTTTATCTGTTTCTTTGGAGCTTCTTCAGTATCATTTTTATTGCAGCCCGTTCTAACTGGTAGTTCAAACCTACACTTATTCTTCTGTATCAGTCAACTGTGTTTCTTCCGTACAGTAGCGCACACTCCTTTGTGATTTAAGTGGGTGCAAAAAAAGCTTTAGCGTGATTTTATTCGTTTTCCTCTGAATGGCCAAAAACACCTCATCACATGTCCACAATAAATTAAGGAAATATCTTACACTAAATGCCTACTTCTTTATTATTCCGTGCATGAAAAAGATGTAATGCAGTCGTGCATCAAATGGACATTTTCCGTGCCACTGTAGAGTAGCACGATCAGTGTGGCCAAGAAGTAAGTCAGTTGGCGGTTGACAAGCCTCGCCCAGTGTGTGAATCAGCCACCTCTACCATTACAGTAATGAATGGAGGTGAGTAGTCCCAGGTAATCTAAGGAGTAGACATTTTGTGCCTGAAGGAATGACGACCTCCAGTAAAGTGTAAATGAAAGAGCCACGTGGATGGTTAGTAAAACAAAGGTGGGCGGATCAGCTTCAATGCTTAAGCAGGCCACAGGGCCCCTCCTTCTGGTAATGACAAATAGGGAAAAACTTGAGTGGTTGGGAGACTTCCCTTATATGTTGATACTGTAGTGTGAGTGTGGTGAAGGGACGTTAAGTCCAGTCGCATCATTAATTTGGTTTAACACAATCCCCTACAGCAAGCCATTGGCAACATGACCTTTCTGAATTGTTGTCTTTGAACTGCAGATTGGAAATGCCAACAATGGTTAACACAAATCATCTGTTGTTGCCAAAAACATTATGCAAGTTTGTAGAACTCTCAGAAATCAAGAGGCAAGGTCACAAATATTATGGTCTGTGAGAGTGGAAGCATTTGAGGTGTTAGCAACACAATGGTTGTTAGGATCTCAGAGGAAAGTAGACTACCACAATTCAGATGTTAAATCATGCTGACCGATTTCAATCTGACCAATTTAGACGCAGCTTGGGAAGTAAGCTATCTTATTCATTTCCTAACTTCGAATATCTCTTTTATTCAATGATTTGTTTGCTTAACCTCTGCAGATGCGCGGTAACCTGTTGACATAACCTGATTAGGGACAGAGGTCATATCATTTGCTACGCTAGCTGCAGATGTGTTGAGTTAAATCGAAGTCATAAATGGTAACACCAAGCCACAAGACTTCACTCTTAATTGATTCAGAAGATATTTAGGAGTACATGACCTTCATTAAGATAAGGAGGAATGGTATTGCCTAGTGTCATTTGCTTCAGGCTGGGTTGGTCCTTGCGGTGCAGTACACCGTCGTGCCGTGTAAGTGCACCAACATTTCCTCATTTACCTGCTAATGGTTCGTTCAATTCCATTCTTCTATAAACTAAATTCAATGAAAAAATGATATAATTGGTTGCCCTGACCAGTGCTACAAGGACAATAAGAGGACTAATTGGAAAGCTATAGCTATAAATTTAGCAGAAGTATACTAGAATAAGAAGGTCTTCTTTTTTCCTCCGTTTTTCTAAACTGACTCCAACTTTATCGAAAAATTACAGATGAACGAGCTACTCGATGAGTCTGTCACTAAGATTAGGGGGAAGCACCTACTACTGCAGTTCAGATGATGTATTATTGTAACTAGCTCTCTTCCGATTAATTCTACTGCTTCTCAACAAGCTTAAAGTTCAATCAGTCGCCTGCCAAGACCATAGCATATCCGGTTTTCCTTTGTAAAATCCAAACCATATATTGTCAACACAGTTTCTTGTAAATGATTATCATGAACTGCTGCAGAGATCTCATTTCACATTGATGAGAATGTCCCTAGTGCTTTTTGTCCCCAGTCCCTAGTGATAGCTAGTTTCCAAACATTCTGCAGTGTTCTGAAGTTTCTAAAAAAACTCCTGACTTACTCATGGCAAGCAGAGGTGTACCTTCGACTAACACATGAACTCATACCCGCGCAGTCCCTGCCCTACAGCCACTATGCGCATACGCACTGAGCCCAGACCTTTCGGCTTACTCGTTAAGTCGGTTAAGGACGACACACACTCTGAAGTCTTCCCTATGACCATCTGGTTAGAAGCTCAGTATGATCTAAAAAACGAATTCAAACACAAAAACTGTGGTCTGTAACAGGTGACGACTTGGGTTATAACACACATGAGTGATGTAACTGTTAAGACTAGGAAATCGGCTCATCAGTTGGATGCGGCACTGGAGGTGAAAGGTTTCACATTACTAATCCACAAGCACTTTCCACTTGAAACGAGACTTCGAAAAGATGTGTTACCACAAAACCTACCAATGAACATGAAGAGGCAATCTTGATCCCTGAGCCAGCGAAGTTGTTTCCATCTTATTCTTGAACATTTTACCCTTGGCACAAATAAGCGGTTTCCAAACGTGCACACTGTTTGACTGGGAACCAAGATGGATGTGTCCCTGTTTGGCATGTGATTGGTTTCCTTTTGGTGCTGGGTACTCCTGCAGTTTGTTACAAAGCCATTACTCATTGGTGAAGAAGATGATGATAAAGGCTGCAGAATGATGTGCTGATCGCAGTGATTGGGAGCAACATCTAGAGTTTGCAGTGGAATGGAAAGCCCAACACGGAATAACCGACAAACCAGTGATTTGTGGCTGTGTCGAAAGGCAGTGTAATTTGGTCTGGTAAAGTTATGTAAAAGTGAATATTAAGGGAGCTTATTTGCCTACGCTGCAAATGAACGGCCTCTGCTAAGTGAGGAATACGCCATTAATAACGATTCCACAACGCCTGCCCCAAATTCAAGGTCGAAGATGGTAGGAAACTTTGCGGTGGGCGTGTAGACCGTAAAGCGGGAGAAGGAATGACATTTAGCATCAAAGCTGGCAAATTTATAAGTCTTGCATCTCTCCTACTTGTCATAGGAGAAGCATATCTGCCAACCACAAAAGGTACTTTAGTCAAATGCTGGCGAAACTCCGTTTTCGCATCCCTTTGCATTGTTGTGATGTTGAGAGCTTCCCAAACACGACAGCTCTACAATTAGCAATATCCACTATTCCATGTTTGCGTTTGTGCACAATGACTGCCTTTTCAGTTAAGCTCAGCGAATTTCGCATTCTTTGCTAAAAACAAAACACGCGGAGCCCACTTTAGCAAGGATTGTGTCTTTCCACTCATTTAAAACGCCACACAGATATTTGAAGCCACTTTGTGGTACGATCAGCTGGTTTTGGAAACTGTTCCTACAGTAACAATTTGTTGTTATTTCCATGTGTTTGTGCGAATGCGATGGTGGGCACTGTGTGGAAGGAATGCGGAACGGTTCGCATCCACAAGTATGTGTTTCGACCGCGTCGCACTTCCCAACCCAGCAATGATGGAGGTGAGTAATTGAAGGTGAATAATTGCAGGTGGTGGGTATGTGGATGTTCTGTCCGTGTTAATGGGCTTGCAGCAAATAGCTTGATCGAAGCTGGCGAGCATTGAGATACTACTGCATGGTAGGAAGATGTCTGCTGTTGATGGCATTCACATTAGAAAGACTTTTGAAACCGCAACTTATTGACAACCACTCTGACTTCCACTCCCTATTAACACCCAGGCCCTTTGACTATTTACTTGAAGACGAGGTCTAATAAACAACTTAAAATCGGGCTATAGACAAGTTGCTGTAAATGTGGTTCAGAGGACATGGTGGTCTCCTTTGTCCTGTTGGTAGTCGACAGGGTTTTCTACGCAAAAACAATCAGCGTTCAAACCATGACTGCTGTACAACATCATTCTGACTCCATTATTGTGAAATGCAATTTGCAAGAGGACTCGTGACAGCCGAAGTAGAGGGATCATAATTAGAAGCAGAGAGAGCAGTCTAGGAGATATTGCCTTAGAGAAGTTTGTACAATCATCCGTTTTCATTGCATTTCGCCCATGCCTGTGATGTCCATTTATATCCCAAGGAATGACTCCTAGCACAACAATGCGCGCTTTTGCGTTCATCATCCAAAAAGTACTTGGATTTGTTCCTGAATATGCATACGCAATAATGCCTCCAATTTCTCTTCCTTGAATTCTTGGATTTGACACATGAAGCAAGTATATTCATATCTGCTTTCGTTTCACACTTCTCATCTCATATGCGTGCAGTAATTCCCGCCAATTAAATGGTGGCATATGTCCGTTCTGCTGCGTTGAAAGATTCTTATCTCCTGTGTAGAGTGTGCAGCTGGGCATCACACAGCGAGGTGTGACAGCAGCCTCAAGGGAACCTCAGTTGAAAATACGCTTACTTCAAACACCTCACAACTTCGGTGCACCGAGTTTTAGTGGCATTTTGCCTTTATCCTAGAGGCAAAGCACGTGGTGGCATGCCTCTTCCATGCCTTCATTGAGCCATGTAGGTCCACGATCGAACCATCCCTACACGGCATTGGTGCTGCTTACCTTGCATGCCAGTTAAGTGTTCCTCAGAAGCTCGACAGTGCATTGTAGAATGCTGGCCATTGCGAATGTGAGATGATCATAGCACTTAAGTTATGTTTTACTGCTGTGTATTATCCCAAAATCATGGTTCAAGAATTTATTAGGATAAATATGTTTTTCATGGATCTCGCTGGACCAAAATGTATAAAGAGGCGTTAAGCTTACAATGCTGGCCACTAGGTGCTATTTCACATCTTTGTTGTCCTCAAGAGGTAACAGAAAACTGTCGTAAGGTAAGAACAAATTTGTGATCTTTCACCTACCCATAAAAGAGCATGGTAGGACCTACTATACGTTTCCCAAAAGAGAGCGTGCGGGAGTCACTTGAGGCAACTATCGACGGCATTCAAATCTTCATTCTCCCCATCGCCTCTCACAGGAAGGCGAAACCTGATCCATTACAAAACCGCTCCCTACTTTCTCATGGACAGAACACCCACCCTTTTCGATTCTTTTGCCATCTATTGAAGGATTCCTTATTGAACTGGTAACACAGAAACACAAATTTGATTCCCAAAGGGGGTAAGATATGAAAGGAAATATAAGATACACATCTATTATTTTCTCCAATATTTTTACGGCAAGTTGCATTTCAAAATCCCTTTTAGCCCAAACCCATTGTAGTACGAGACTTTCAGCTATCCTGTGAGAAGCTGTGAGGCGACTTATATGCATTTAAAGCAAGTACATTTGCAGGGGCTGAGCTATGCGGAAGAAAGGGAAATAAGTCAGAAGTTTCAATAGGTTACCACTCTGATCATAGCGGTACGTTACCTCCGGTGATCCTTGTAATCCATATCACTTTCTGCTAGTTGAAAGCTTTTTGCCTTTCCCCTTACTAACCGCCTCCAGCAGAGTAAATCTTAAGCACTGCAATGCAACCCCTAGGAAGGCAAATGGCAAGGCGATCAATCCAGCCTTCTGTATAACAACGGTACTGCATGAAGTTGTCTGAACACTGATTGCAGGAGGATTCCTCATCACAATTTGCGCGCACGTTTATAGCACATTGTTTAAACCTATTTATTAGGTCCCACCACAATGACAAAACTGAGGCACTGTCTACTTATTTACAGCACATCGGTGCTCCTTCCACTGTATCGAATGTCAAACATGCCTCAGTAAGCACTGGAATCCTCTATCATTGCTTTGTTCCCAAGTATCCTGAACAACTTTTTAGACTAATGCTTTTGAAAATTTCATCAGCAAATAAATATTAAAGCTTTTGAGGTTGGACCGACAACCACCACTTCAAGAAATAGATGCAAGCACTCAGCAATTCTCCTTTCGGCTTAGAGCCTATCCATCCATACGCATAATTCGGAGTCCACCGAAATACCCCCAACTTACATCAGGTAGTTCATCACTAGTAATGGTATAGAACTATACATACACGCTTAAAAGTGAATTTCTTGGCAGGAATAAAATGTCAGAGCGTAATTTCTGCAACAGAGGGTATAGGCATGACCAATTTCCCACGCTTTGGTAGTTCAGCTATTACTACCTATCTCTCTCGATGTCTCCCACATTCCCCTCGCATAAAACTATTTGCTTTACCGCAGTTAGTTTCCACAAAAGCCATAAATAATTAAAATTTGATCTTTCTTTGTGTAGGGACAAATTTTGCTGGCATTTTGATCAAAACTTAGTTACAGCTAACTTGATAGACGAAAAGTAGGGCTAATGTTGTCAACGCAGTCATAATTTGGTAAGGAATGTTTTGCAGATTGGCTGGCATTGAACGAATAAAAGGCAAGAATTGGTAAGTAGCAGCACAATTTCAGGTAAAGACATGCTGTATTTTAGGGCATTCCTTCATATGGTCAACAGTAAGAAGCTGCACTGCACCTAGTTTCAGTGAGACATCGATGTCGTCTGTGGAAGAACGGCATCTGTTCTGAATCTATATTCACCCCTCAGTCCCCTCAGCCTTTACGCTTCGAACAACCATTGGTTATCCAGCATCATACTTAGGCCCACTGCCTCTTAGTCCTTCTGGATGGCTTAGACTAAACTGCATTTAACCTTGGATATCCTTCCTTTCATTTCCATCCCTTTCTAGTTAAATAGTGTTCACTTCCTAAAAACTATTCGACTTGCAACATTATGCGG